GTTAATCAGCAAGCTGGGCCAAGATTATGTTCATGTAAACCTCACAGAGAAAGACTTTCATATAGACCTGGGCATAGGCCACTGTGCAGTGATTGTGCACAGATAACTCTATTCCTCCCCAGGGCAGGCATTTCTTCCATTTGCAGTCTTGCAAGGGTCAAAATTTAACTACTATCACAGGGGATAGAGCACATATCATAAGCAAATTCATGTATGCAGTGCAATCTAAAATTCTCTCTTAAAGAGGATTTGTAATCAACCAGAAAATTGGGCATACCAAGAAATGCTATCCATTTTGATATCTCACAATGAGTGGGGATAGAAGCACAATTGAATGATCAGAATGCAGCCATGTTTAGCTCACCAGCCACTGAGTTGCTAAACTTCCATCAAGTTAACTAACTTTAAAGCTCCCTAGGCTTACTACTGCATGGGATTGCTAACAAAACAAGTATGCATCTGGTTATTTACTGAACTATTTTCTTCCCAGCTTTCTGAATAAAAACATATTATTTTACTATATATGGCATAAATACAGAAGATTCAGGTTTATGGTTTAATGCCAGCTTAATATTTTATTTATTCATTTGGAAGTGGTAATAAAATTATTTGAATCCTCCTTCCCATATTGATTTCTATGAGTATTTTAAAAAAAACAGCAGAAAAAGATAGAAATATTTTCAGGATAGGGTTGTCTATTCTTAGTATATTTTAATGTATTTTAGAGAATGCTCATGTCCCTCTGCCTTCTTTGCCAGCCCTTTACATCCAGCTTTAACCAGATAGATGCTTGTTGAAAAGTCTTATTAAATTAATCCATGTCAATGACTTCCTCAAGTTTCAATATACACAGCAAAACTCTGAAAGCCAGAGGCATGGAAACAGAGCACAGATGGAGCTCAGAGGGAAGGTGGAGGGGAGGCTGTCAGAAATTAACCAAAGAACTTATTTGCATATATGCATAATCTATGGACACAGGCAATAGTGAGGTGAAGGTCTGGAATAGGTCAGGAACCAGTAAAAGGGAGGCAGAGGGGGGACATTTGTATTACTTTCAACAATACAGATTAAATAATAAATAAATAAAAGCAAGGGAATAGATCTAAAAGTATAGAATTTCCTTTAGAACGTATCATCAAATTTCTTAAGGAAAGTACAGTGGGGCCTTGACTTATGAGTTTAATTCGTTCCGAGACCGAGCTCGTTAAGAAGCTCGTTAACTCAAATTACTCTATCAACTCAATGCAAAGAATTGGCTGAGAGACAGCTGGTATCTCAAAAAATTCGTTAGTCGGGACACTCGTAAGTCAAGGCCCCACTGTATATAGACTTTCAGGTTTTAAATAGAGGAAGGATTTTCACTTGAAAATTAGAAGTTTTCCTAGGTCTCCTCAAGTCACTTAGGGCCACATTTTCATCCTCCGTGAAAGGCTGGTGCTGCAAGTTTCAGTGACTGCTCACACTGAGCTAATTGATACAAAGGACAGTTCCTGAGTAAGGAGGGCATATATATATGGCCGTGATAGAAACGGCTTAACTGTTTACAAATACACTATTATATTTTAAAACATTCAAAAATACTTATCTTGAAATAAGACATACTTTTATTAAGAGTGAAATATAGACTAAGTCAAAAGTAGGAATCAATTATAAACTTTCAGAGCTCAAGGAATTCCTGTTAACAAGTGTTTGTATGTCAATGTGGATACCTTCACTGAGCACATAGTTTGGCCACTTTTGATGCATGGAACAAGAACTCCATGGGAAAGTAGTCTACTTTTTTGTTCTTATCTTAAAAGAGAAAGTAAGAAGAGAGAAAACTGCCTTATTCTATTTAAGAAGTTATCCCAAGGGACTAAAAGTACTCCAGAGATAATAATAGGTTCAGGAGACAAGCATAAGCACTCAAAATATCCCTAAGAGAGGCAAAGGAGAGACCCAGAACAATTTTTTGAGATAAAAGTTAAGAAATGTTTTGGAAAGCAATTAAAAAACAAATTTAAGGAATGTTTGAAATAATATATTCTACGAACATGCTTATATTTCTTCAAATCTCTCTGTAAGAGATGCCTCTTATTTTCCATTATACTGTTCAGCTGTGTAATTTATATTATTGTAACTAAGCACTGTTAGTGGTAGAGATGAAGAAGCATGGCACTCTGCCTGGATCTTAGGCAACGGTTCTGTGCCCTGGTGAAGAGGACAAAGTAAAAGGTAGATTAAACCAGGAGACCTGTTAACTCTGCGGAGCCGGGAAGAATCCGAGTCATTGTCGAAACCAGAGATAGGGCGTCAAGGCAAAAATGTTGGATTCAAAGACCATGGATTCTGCTGTTCATAAGCTGCTACCTGTGTTTGGGGACAGCAGAGCAGGGGTGGGAGAGGGTACGCCTGACGGTGCTGCAGGGACAGGATCACACACCAGCTATGTGTGTCTCAGCTATTCACTGTGGTGAGAGCCTAATGGTCCCACAGCACCTCTTGTGGCAACTCTAAATTGCAGACTTAGGGCCTACACTGGGATAATGGGCCTCTACAGGTCTGGCCTAGAATCTCCAACCCTCTCAAATGAAAGCTAATACAACCAAAGCCAAAAAGTATTCTGGGGACTCATCATCAGGCCTAGAGAATGATGAGCCATTGTTACTGAAACATATAAACACCTAAGTGCTAATATTAAAAAGTAAATGAGAGAAGGTTATGGACAACCAAATCACCCAGTTTTCCTTTTAAAGGAGAATTCCATACATTAACAAGTCATGTTGAGGCAAATTACAAAGAAATTGCATGCACACTAAAAATAGAGTTTGTATTGTACAAAGTTTCTTTTGTCCTTCATGTTCTTCCAAAGAACTATAACTAGAAACATAAATGCTTAATAAACACCTGCTGAGTGACCAGGTCAATGATTGAGTGAGTAATGAAAAGAATGAGTCAATGAACAAGCCTATTTTCCTAAGCTTCAGCCACAGATAAAAATTCATTCTGCCCATCAGTTATTTACCACCCCTGCTCTCTACGGAACCCAGATTTGGCAAAGGAGTGGTTATATAAGTGGCCTCCAGCGCTCACAATGGTCATTTCTTAAACTCTTAATATCTGCCTTTTTCCTGACAAATGACTGAAGCAGTGCTCTTAAGGGTCACCGGATGCCTCGTTGCTAAATTCAAGCCTTTTTTATTTCAGTCCACATCCACCTTGCTGAAGCAGACCGCAGAATGGAACACAACCCCTTAACTCTTCTGATCTAATCTGTACAGTAGTAGGAATATGAATCACAAGATACAATTGAAGTGGGTTTGAGATGCACTCAGTATGACATCCATATTTAGTTTCCCTTTTACATGGATCAAAATGTAATCTCAACCTGTTTGGAGCGGCCTTCTCTGCCACCTCAGTGCCACTCAGGTGTGCTGGCAGTCTTTCAGCCCGTCTCAGTCCCTATGTGTCTCATCACACAGGTTCCTTCTCTGAGCTCTATCCAGCAAGCAAGTCAGAAAGGCCTTTGTACTTCTATCCTGTAAAGTGGGGGCTATGTCATCTGTCCTGGGGAGTAGCGGAGAGGGAAGGGCATTGTCTCCTTTCCTTCGGGTCCTAGAATGTCTGCTTACAACTTTCCTTGGCCTTGCTTCTGCCTAATTCCAACACAGAGATGCTTTAGAAGGTTTGGGAGGAGTCTTTCTGTGTTTACTTAGTGTAAAGATAGTTTCTCCAACTATCATCTGTGCCATTGTGTTCAAGTGATTATTTTGAAACTCAAAAGCCAAGAATTTATTTCATTTTTTTGCATTTTGTTATAACTACTTTATAGGTATGTGTGCCTCTTTGGTCATATTCTTCATAAATTCCTCTGAAAATAAAACTATTTATTATGAAAGGTTTGATATATAACAAGAGTGCCCTCCAAAAAAAATGCCAGTTTTTGTTAAATTATTATTAGTGTATGAGAATCCCATTTTCCTACATTTTTGCCAATACACTATATTTGAAAATATATATTTATGATTTTTAAATTAAAAATGAAATATTTTGTGTTTAATCTGTATTTGTTTGATTACTAGGGAATTTGACCATTGTTCCATAGATTTATTGTACATATGGGATTTTTAAATTCTTACTTGTCAGGAGTTCATTTGCCCATTTTGTTAGATCTTTATTGACTTATAAGAGTTTTTCATTTGAAGAATATTAACAAATTGACTGTTGTATATGAAAAATATTTTTTTTTGTTTTTTACCTTTTTATGATGTGAGAAATTGAAACTTACAATTTTTAAATCTGATTTTGTGATTTTTTTATCTTTGGTATTTTTACTTAAGAATTAATTTTTCATTGCAAGATAATGACTACATTATGTTTTAGTTGTTTTATGGTTTTATTTTTACATTTAAAATTTAATCAATTTGTTATATTTAGCATTGACTGGGAGATTGGGGTCATTTAATTATTATTTGTCCCAGCATCATTATTTAATAATCCTTTTCCTCTTTGATCTAAATTCCACTTTTTTCATATAATAAAATTGACATACAATGGATCTGCTTCTGGACTCTGTTCTGTTCTGTCTCTCACTACACCAATAAGACTCAACTTCACTCATGGGAATAAATACTTAATAAACACTGATATCTGAAAGGAAAGCCATCCTCTATTACTATTTCTTAATTTTTTTCAAAATTTTTCTGACTAATACATTTACTCTTCCAAATAAAATTTAGACATGTCATTCTAAAATGCTAGTATTATATTTTTGGTTATTATTTCTCACCCTCTTAACTTGAAGCCCCAGCCAATCTATTCTGTACCCTAGTGAATCCTAGCCTGATTATAGTTCTACTGCAAAGTACTAAATAATAATGATGATGGCAATAAGTCCTATTTGTCACAGCTTCTGGAAATTTCAAATGTCGATATTTTAATATGATACTAATTTCAGATTTGTCACTCAAGAAAATGAACAAGGAAACTCTCCCCTTTAAGAAGTGTCACTGTCTTTTCAGAGTGTAGAAGGCGAACACCATGAGAAAGCTGTGGAACTCCTCAAGGCTGCTAAGGACAGCGTCAAGCTGGTGGTGCGGTACACCCCGAAGGTCCTGGAAGAAATGGAGGCTCGCTTTGAGAAGCTACGGACAGCCCGGCGTCGGCAGCAGCAGCAACTGCTAATTCAGCAGCAGCAACAGCAGCAGCAGCAACAAGCGCAGCAGAACCACATGTCATAGGTGAGACGTGTCTTCCTCTGTACAGGGAAAGTCCATTGCATATTCCAGTGTTTGTTTGTTTTTTAAATATATTTTTTATTGATTTCAGAGAGAAAGGGAGAGGGAGAGAGAGATAGAAACATCAATGATGAGAGAGAATCAATGATCAGCTGCCTCCTGCATGCCTCCCTACTGGGCATGTGCCCTGACTGGGAATCGAAGAGAGATCTCCTGATTTATAGTCAATGCTCAACCACTGATACGTATTGGCTGGGCTAGTGTGTGTGTGTGTGTGTGTGTGTGTGTGTGTGTGTGTGTGTGTGTGTGTTTTAATATGGTTTCTTAGCTGGGATAAAATTATTAGATTTAATAATTAAAAATACAGTCAAACAAATAATAATCTCAGAAAATGTAAACGCTTGCTTTATGTGTCATTCAGCCACATTCTTTGCAAATGCAAGATATTTTGGAAAATAATATACTTTGCGAGGACCAGGTACAGATGCTTGATACCCTTTTACAAATTAGGAAAGTGCAGCCTCTGTGCAAACCCAGATCCTCAGGCACAAAGCCAGATGACCAGGGTGCAGCCTGAAATCAGCTCCTCGCTCACTCTTGCGGCCAGTGGCCTTGGCACAGTGCATATACTCAACTACCTCTAGTGCTGAGGCTGGGAAGGCCCCCTTTGGTTAGAAAACTGCTTCACTGAAAAGAGTGAAGTAGAGGCTTGTCGGTGTCCATGCTAGGAAAGGTTTTGAAATTCTGTTTAGATGTTCATTTAGAATGTGCCCAAAATGCACCTGCCTTTTCCTATATTTCACTTTGTGGCAAAGAATACTCATATTTTTCTATATATCTTAAGAAAATTCAATAAAAAAATCTTAAGAGTCTTTGAAGTATCTGCTATGTGCTAGACCCTTCTCACATGTTTATCCCTCGCCCTCAGAAGAACTCTTTAATGTAAGTATCATGAAAACCCACTTTTTTAGATGAAGCTTCAGTCATTTCAGTGGAGTCCCCACAACCATAGTTACAAGTAGCACAGAATTATTTTACTTTTCACTCTACTAGGTATTTCATCTGCTAACATCAGGTATTCTGGAGTCATCTACATTTATCTTGCTATCTTTTGGAGGCCACAGCTTATAGCATTAGATATCCCCACACTATGACATCTGCAAATGTGTGTTTGAAGTGAGGTTCAAATGCTCTTAGAAAAATGACAGGGGGTAGTGGTGATTTTAACTCCTTCAATGTCAGATTATTATTTGCATAACCAGAAACATTGGATATGACATGAGACTTTCAATTTTTTGTGACACTTATGAAAAGTAGAAGCTACATGGAGAAGTCAAGAGTATGGGATTTGTCCTCAGAGAGTTGGGAATTCAACAATCTATCTTGCTTTTATAGCCTCCTAATCTTATTCTATATACATCTGACTTTGATGTCTTTATCTAAAACTCCGTTCCATTCTAAAAGCTACATTTATTCAACAATAAATATTTATTTAGCACTACGATGGGCGAGGTACTGTTCAATAGGCTGAAGAACCAGCACAAGCTAAGAAAAGTCCTTGCTCTCACGGTGCTTACATCCTGGTTAGAGGACATAGTTAATAAACAAGTAAATTAAAATATCCTAGAGGGACCAGTATTTTGCAGAGTTAAAATTGGGAGCTTTGATAGAGACTGGTTAGATCATGACTTCCAATTAGGTGACCAGGGAAAACTCCTCAAAGGAGGTGACATTAAACTTGAAATTGAATGATTAGGAGAAGACAGAAATGAGTAGAAGAGGAGGAGAAACCCAGTGTAGTAGCTCTAAGGCTGACATGAGCCACTTGATGTTTGAGAAGCAGAAAGAAAGCCAGGGTGGTTAGGGAATAATGAGAAGGACAGTGAAATAGATGGAGGTGAGGTCACAGAAAGCTTTTTAAACCACTGAAGGAAGTTAGATTTTATTGCAATTGAAGCCACTCAAGGTACTTAAGGAGGGGAGTGACATGATCTGATTTAGGTATTAAAAATGATAACTCTAGCTGCTACTGAGAGAATAGATTATCGCAGGGTAAGAATGAAAACAGAGACCAATTAGGAGGCTATTAGGAGTCTAGACAAGTAATGCAGTGGTTTGGAATAGGATGATACCATCAAGAGAGAATGTTATGGCTGCACATGGACAAGTAATGTTGTCCATATCCTTCTCTCTCATCCATTCCGAATGTAAAGGTACTTTACATTTATACTTTCAAATCCTTTCAAACATCTCTTTGCTAATAACAATTCACTATTTTTTAGTCAAGCATTGACACTCATTTCACTAACACATTTTCTTCCATCCTCAGTATTATAGATTTGTACCAGTTCTGCTCATTAACATGCCACTAGCCCACAGTAAATTTTTTCTGAAGCATTTTGAAAGAAATATGTTGCCATTCTGACTTCTGAGGTCTTACTAAAAACTTAGAGCATTATGCTCACTCAGTCATCTTTGGAAGTATACAGCTTGGCCATAAATAGGCATTTGCTGGGCCATAAACTCAACCTCATTTCTCTGTTCCATCAGCCTTCATTAAGTCACTTCAGAATTTCCTACTGTCTCACCACCAAAGACTAACATTTTTAATAAAAAGCAATTACAAATGGTGTTTTTTTCTTGCACATGATGTGGTAAAGCTCTATTTAAGTGGACATTAACTTTATATTTATACTCGCCAAGACAACAATTTCAATCTTACACAGGCATGGACCCTTGAGATAAAACTGTGGTGACCATTTCAAGTACAAGCAGAATAAAACCAAGTCATGTCACCCAGGGATTTTATGGTGAATTTATAGTCAGAGACCTACATTAGCTCTTGTTCAACTTTTAATTAATTAAGATTTTTAAGGATTAAATGAGATTTGCTACACTTGCTAACTCATGCTATGGTGGCTTTTGCAAAGACATTTGAAGCTAATTTGACATATTTACTTTGAACAGATCTCTGATATTTTTTAAGTATTACAAATCAAGGAAAGATTAGGTAAAGCAAAAGACTTGTCAGATATTACCTTATTGCTTATCACACAAAATATAATTTCTATTCTCTAAATTAAAAATAACTTTAAAAAAAATCTGAGATGGTATAAATTATGGAGTGATTAGCATGGTAACTGCTGGATACAAATGAAAAAATATGTTGCATGTGGATAGTATGTAGAGAATATCCCTTATACCTACTTCTAATATTAACTTTATTGAAGTAAAATGCAGTTGTTTTTTTCTCCAGCTTTTATGTTTGGTAATAAGAAAGAATAGATTACATTTCCTAAAATGTAGTAGATATGATCACTATACACTTATATTATAGAATCTTAAACAGAGAGTATGAATATAGGGTGTTTTTTTTAAATCTGTACTCACTTTTCAAAATTTTATTTTTCAATTACAGTTTAAATTAAATGTTATTTTGTATTAGTTTCAGGTATACAGCATAGTGGTTAGACAATCATGTCCTTTACAAAGTGGTCCCCCCAATATTGCAAGTACCCACCTGGCACCATAGGTAATTATTACAATACTAGAGGCCTGGTGCACGAAATTCATGCACTTGGGGGAGGGGGTCCCTCAGCCTGGCCTCTACCCTCTCACAGACGGGGGCCCTCGAGGGATGTCCGGCCCTCATGGGATGTCCAACTTCCACGAAGGCAGGAGAGGCTCCTGCAACCGCTGTGCTCGCCAGCCGTGAGCCTGTCTTCTTGCTGAGAGGCACTCCCCCTGTGGGAGTGCACTGACCACCAGGGGGCAGCTCCTGCATTGAGGGTCTGCCCCCTGATGGTCAGTGCACATCATAGCAACTGGTCATTCTGCCATTTTGTCGATTTGCATATTAGCCTTTTATTATATAGGATTATTGACTATATTCCCTATGCTGTACTTTACATCCCCATGATTGTTCTGTAACTAACAATTTGTAGTTCTTAATCCATTCACTTTTTTCCCCTCACTCCCCCAACCCTCCTCCCCTCTGGTAACCATCAGTCTGTTCTCTGTATCTGTGAATCTGTTTCTATTTTTTTATTTATTTTGTTCTTTAGATTTCATATGTAAGTGAAATCATACGGTATTTGTTTTTCTTTGTCTGACTTATTTGACTTGTAGGTCCATCCAAGCTGTCAAAAATGGTAAGATTTCATTCTCTTTTATGGTCAAACTAGAGGCTCGGTGCACAAAATTTGTGCATGGGGGGTATGACTCTCAGCCCAGCCTGCACCCTCTCCAATCTGGGATCCCTCTCACAATCCAGGACTGCTGGATCCTAACCGCTCACCTGCCTGCCTGCCTGATCACCCCCTAACCACTCCCCTGCCGGCCTGATCAATGCTTAACTGCTCTCCTGCTGGCCCGATTGCCCCTAACTGTCCTCTCCTGCAAGCTTGGTCGCCCCCAACTGCCCTCCCCTGCAGGCCTGGTTCCCCCAACTGCCCTCCCCTGCAGGCCTGGTCCCCCCAACTGCCCTCCCCTGCAGGCCTGGTCCCCCCCAACTTCCCTCTCCTGCAGGGCTGGTTGCCCCCAACTGCCCTCCTCTGCTGGCCATCTTATGTCCACATTGGGGTGGCCATCTTTGACCATGTGAGAGCGGCTATCTTGTGTGTTGGAGTGATGGTCAATTTGCATATTACCTCTTTATTATATAAGATAATATTCTATTGTATCCAATAGTCTATTGATGGGCACTTGGGTTGCTTCCATTCATGGCTTTTGTAAATATCACTGTAATAAACATAGAGGTGCATATATTTTTTTGAATTAGTGTTTTTGAAGTATTACATTAATTCAGCTTTAAGCATCTTATTTTTTTTAAGACTGACTTTATATACATCCATAAAATATGGAAATATATACTTTATATTTTACCTAGATTCCAAATAATAAAATAGAAAGCGGAGTACTTCTAAAGATGTCAGCATTATGAGGAAGTCTAGACCACACAAGCCTTTTGTATTTCTCTGACCTCCTATTGCTGGAACAAGGATAGAGAATTCATTTATATTCAAAACCAGGCAGGATCTTAGCAGATGTACAAAGCAGCTGGCATTTGCCAGAGGCCTCACTGACTCTTTTTTGTCCTCCTGCTCTTCAAGCCCTCATTTCCTTATTTTGTCCACCACTGAGTGTTCTATACCTTCCAGCACCATGGCCTCAGCCATGGCCGGGTGGTTTGATCCAGGGAACACTGCCAGAGCTGCCAGCCAGGCACTGGTAGGACCAGGTCCCAGAGGATGATCGATAAAACTAAATCCAAGGAACCCAGAGTAACTAAGCTAAAAACTGGACCAGAAATAACCATCATAATGCTGGATGCAACGCATTAAACTGTTAGGCTGTGCCAAGAGCTCTTTTAAGAACTTCATATATGTCCTGGCTGGTTTTACTCAGTGATCAGAGTGTTGGCCTGGGACCTGAAGGGTCTTGGGTTGGATTCCAGTCAAGGGCACCTACCTCGGTTGCAGGCTCAATCAGGGCCTGTGCGGGAAGCAACTAATCCATGTGCCTCTTTCATATCGGTGCTTCCATCTCTCCTCCTCCCTTCCATTCTTTCTAAATATCAATGGGAAATGTATCTTTGGGTGAGAATTAACCAAAAAAAAAAAAAAAAAAAAAAAAAAAAAAAAAAAAAAAAAAAAAGAAAGAACTTCATATATATTAAATTGTTTAATCATCACAATAATCTATGGATATTAGGTACTGTTTTTAAACTCATTTTAAAGAAGGAAACTAGTCATGTTGGATTTTTAAAAGTTGACAGAATGTTTTTCAAAGCTTGTAAGCAATAGGGTAGTGATTCATAAACATGGGCTTCAGAGCCTCTGTTTCTTAACCACTTGGCCTCTTTCTTCAGTGGCACCTGCCCTCAAATTCCTCTGTCTCTCCTCACAGACACATTCTCATGAGCTTTCCAGAAATTCATTCTCAGGCCGCTTAGAGTTGGAGCTATCCAACTCACCCTCACCACTTACTTTCAAAGCAGTGCCCCATACTTCAAAGCACTTCATTATCACAGCCTATTAGTTTCCCATAGCTGCCCTAAAGATTTACCACAGATTTTCTTACTTAAGAGAACACAAATTAATTATCTTGTAATTCTGTAGGACAGAAGTCCAACATAGTCTCACTGGGCTCTAGGAGGCTCTGGGTGGACATCATTTCCTTGCCTTGTCCAGATCCCAGAGGCTTCTTGCATTCCTTGCTTTGTGGTCCCATCGTCCATCTTTCAAACCAACAACGGTGGCAGAGACCTGCACTGCATCATGCACTGCATTGCTCTAAACTCTGTGTCCATCATCACATCCCCTTCTATCACTCTCTTCTCACCCCCTCTTCCACTTTTCATTATACTGGGCCCACCTGAACAATCCAGGGTAACCTGCCTATTTTAACATCAGCTGCTTAGCAGCCTTCATTCCATCTACAACCTCAATTTCCCTTCACCGTGAAATCTAACATATTCACTGGTTCTGGGGTCCATTATTCTGCTTACCAGAATGGCCCATTTAAAAGTTAGCAAAGTGCCCGGCTGGCATGCCTCAACAGTTGAGCATCAACCTGTGAACCAGGAAGTCACAGTTCAATTCCTGGTCAGAGCACATACCCAGGTTGTGGGCTTGATCTCCAGCATGGGGCATGCAGGAGGCAGCCAATCAATGATTCTCTCTCATCATTGATGTTTCTATCTCTCCCTTCCTCTTCCTTCCTCTCTGAAATCAATAAAATTATATTTTAAAAATAAAAGCAAGGCAAATTAATCAATAGAATTTAAACTAATGTGGGAAATAAAACACTAACCTATTGAACTATAAATCTTGGGAAAGAGGAAAATATGAGACACTTGGAGCAGATGGTTATTCTCCTTGGGCACTATAGTGACGCACATTGTGGGTGCCCAGGGTCCCACAGGCCCACTCCCCCTCTTGATAGATGAGGAGACCCAAGACTCTTACTAAAATGTAGTAGTTCTGAGACCCACATCCTTGGGACATGTAAATACATGTATGATAAATAAATGTATTAAAAACAGAATCTCTAGGTCTCTGCCATTTGGGGCTAACAGGAAGTTATTTAATCTGAGGTTCAGTGAAACAGTCTGTTGTGGAGATTAAATAAAAAAAAGCATGTAAAACTCTGACCAAAACATGTGGCAAGTAAATGAGCACCCAGTAGTAGTAGTCGTCGTCACGGTCGCCCGTGTTGTAGTTGTTAACATGTCCTTGACGGATGTCATATGTACTAGTAATGTCTTGTTAGGTGTCTTCTGAAGAAGCGCAGTGGCCTCGTGCCTGGTTTCAGTTCCACTGTGTGAGCCCATGGGCTTTGAGGCACATCTCTGGAAGGCATGGCACCTGGAGGGTGCAAGTACCCCCCCCCCACACACACACACATGCACACATGCACACATGCATACACATGCATACATACGCATACACATGCACACACATGCACACATCAACCAGAACAATTTGTTAACATCTGTTTTGTATATTGTTGTGCTCTGCATTCATAGAAATAAAAAATATTTGCAGCTTTAAAATGAAAGGTTGAAAACCAGTGTTCTCTCTGAAAGAAATGACTCATCACGGTGGAAGAGTGACAGGTCTCAGAAGAGAGTTTGGGGAAGGCTGCTCCCCCAAACCTGACCATATGGGCAGCTGCCCGCTCGGTTGTAGCTGATGTCAGGCTGGCCTTGTGGGAGAAGAAACAGACCTAATATCTGCTTCGGAGGAGAAATATCGGTGCTTCCTGCAAGAACACCACTAACTGCCCCTCAGAGTCTTATAAAGCTTAGCTATTCTTTGTCTTCATGAAAAAAAAAAAAAGTTACCTGCAATTGGGAGGAAGAAATTTTTTACATTTAAGATGTTTCCAAACTGGTGTTCTTTATTTCATTTTAGGGAACAACTGGTGTCTTTTCCATCCTCATTCAGCAATTACTTCCTTTGCAAACATCAGTGTTTGTTTGTTTTTTTTCATATATGGAAGATTGTGTATGAATGGTAGTGCTCAAAATAATCCTTGCTGTTCTCACAGAGCACATGCTCTTTTGATATTTTTAGCAAATTGTAGTTGACAAATGAATGCTAATCACTGATTTCTCTTCACTCTTTTTCCTCTTTCAGGTCCTTGAAGTAAAGCTACTTGATCAAACATCCGATAGTCACAAATTTGAAACCGTGCTTCTGAATCCCAGCACATAGTAAAAAGAAAAGACAACACTGATAATTATACCTGTCAAGAAGCTGTGAACGCGTGGTGTGTAAATTCTTTACCAAGGCAACTCGACACCTTCTTTATCTGGGCTGAACCCGGGCTGCTCGCTGCTCTTCACACACACAGACCTTCCATTCACTGCAGTGGGAATTCTGTGTGCCAGTGGAGAGGTTTTCCAGTCTGCAGACTGAAACAGTGCAAGAATAAAGTCCATGACTTTCAGATTAATCACCAGGGCCAGGATTAAGTAAACCTTGGGTCTATAGCTTTTCCAGAGATGAACAAAACCCTCATTAGGCTATAGTTCAAACTGCATCAGTTCAATATTGTCGCCACTTAAAACCTACACATTGCTCCTCACCCTGACCTGTTTCACGTCCATATTGCTGAGCTGTCAGAATTAGAAATTCAGTTAATTGCAAAGTCAACATCTTTCCCCCTCTTGAAAACAAGTAATTATACTATATTTATACTCTCTTCAGGTTCCTGAAGCAATTGGCTTTTTGTTTTGTTTCCTTGAATTTTATTATGCATTAATAGAGTAGGCCGATATAGCTCAACTTTTAGTTTGCTAGAAGCAAGGATAGAGAAATCAAGTAGTGTATTTTTTTTTTAATTTAAGCATTGCTTGTATCTATTATTAATTCTAACAGAATATAATGTATATTTATTCCACAAAATATATATTATGAGAGTGTATTTGTTACAAACTTAGGTCTTTCCTTACCAAATATTATGAATCTGGTAGGAGATCATTGTTAGCAAAGGACCTGGTTTCATGAACCTCATATGATATTTATATATAACCCTGCACTCAATATTATTTTTTAGGTTTTATATTTTTGATTGATAAGCTCTAGAGAAATCTACGCTCTTTCTACCTACACTGATGTGCCGTCATAGAAGTCTATTTGATATTTTAAAGCTTGCAGCTTTAACAAAAACTAAATTATAATACGTGTGCATATATATACAAATATGTATGTCATACAAAGTTTACATAAGTTTCTTCAAATATAAAATGGATATTTTTGTCAATCTAAGATCCAAAGTATTATTCCTTTTAAAATTAGGCATATGTGAACCAGTGATAATAATATTGTAAATGAAAAGATACTGCTGCTTCTAGGGGGTAAAGATACCGCCTTCATTCCATGATTCATGTAAGTAAATAGACAATGAGATAATCACCTTTCAGAAACTATAATTTACTGGGAAATGATCTGTTAGAGCCACATATACAGATGATAACTTTTGACTTATGGTAAACCTAGGCATATAAGTCTGATTTTTCTCTATGGAATGAATAGGAAGCAATAATTATTTGGGTACTTAAATATCTTAAGCACACAAATGTACCTGGAAAAAGAATACATATCCAGTTGAAGTATTCTAGATCATTAAAACCGAAGCAAGTATTTGAATATTCCCTCTTCTCAAATGCAGAAATTGATCACCAAAGATAAAATAGAATTCACATTTCAGACAGTCCTCCAAATTAAAAATCTGTAAAGCTCAGTTTAGGAACTGTTTTCATGAAAATAAACGAATCAGAATTCCTCTACACATATTAGTTTGCCCTGTCAGGTGATGATGTTGTCAATGCCAAGTTCTGCCCACTCTTCATAGCCCATCACCCAACAGAGGATAAACAGCAAGGAAACTAGGAGGTGCACCAACTTCAACAAGATTCTGCTGTAGTAACAGATTCTCAGGCTTGAAAACATCATTTTTTTTACTAGATAAAGCTGGGTGGAAGGCAAGACTGAGGACTCTGAATATTGTGTAAAATAGGTTTGCAAAAGAGATAAGCATGACTAAAAGGAACAAATGGATACTGCTTGAGTATTATTCAGTTTGAAAGAGGTAGTTCTCATTTTTATAAGAAAAAATTAATAAAACATATATTTTAGTTATTATTTAACAAAGAAATATTAAAGGTATTCAGGCAATGCCACTGATTCTCAGAAAGGGAAGTCATTGAACCTTTGTAATGAGGAAATGGTCATTTTGACACATTTTAATACATTGTATAAATTTGGAGCTTAAGGTATGTTTTTATTTAGCTGTATTTGGTTAATGTTAAATTATCATGTTTTAACATCAATATAAATATTTTCATGGAATTACAGAACAATTAACAAATGAGCAGATACCTTCCATTTGTGTTTTCTAGAAGTCCTTGTATTTTTGTGCTTCATTTGCATAAAGATAAATGCTAATAAATGTATGCCAGGCCCTTTGTCACAGTGGAGGGGCAATCCATCATACCCAAGACATCTAAGGACCGATTACATGTCCCAGTGTTCCTGCATACAAGTGTCCAGTCCAATGGCCACATTTTTTCAGTAAAATCTAGTTGTTGAAATGTAAATCTTCCCCTAAAGTTTTAATCAAAAGTAACTACGCCTAAGACTTAGAGAGGGGAGGGGAAAAATAAGCGCCCAACTGGCGTGGCTCAGTGGTTGAGCATCGATCCGTGAACCAAGAGATCATCAGTTTGATACCTGGTCAGGGCACATGCCCAGGCTGGGGGCTTGATCCCCAGTTGGGGGCATGCAGGAGGCAGCTGATTGATGTTTCTCTCTCATCAGTGTTTCTGTCTCTCTGTCCCTCTCCCTTCCTCTCTCTCTAAAATCAATAAAAACATGTTATAAAAAACAAAAGACTTAGAACACTTGTGGTTCTCTAAAGTTTCCCTGAACCTATAAATAGGGAATGGGAACAGTGACAACTTGTCTTAATGCTCTTTATTATTAATGATCATATTAATCACTACTCTTATGCCCAAAGTCATATTAAAGATATAATAGTTGCTCTTACATGAAGCTCAGTCTCTAATATGATAAACAAATTAGATATTAAAAGTTAAGGGGGGGCGTCTGTTGTTACCATCCACCAGTGATCCTGGTGAATTTTAGTTCTTTCTCTCAGTTAGGTTGGTGGCTGGATTTTTCTAAACTCTTTTTTTTTTTACTTTGAAGGCAAGTATCTGTAACAAACTTTTTCACTGGGCATTTATCTTTTAATTCTGACACCATTTGAAATTGAAATAGAACATCCTTGGGGAGATAATGAGTTCAAATTACAGTTGACTTTGGAAAGAATAACAGACTTTCCATGCTTCATGTAATCAATAGGAAATTCACTGTGAATTACCACTATTTTGTAAGACAATGCTAAGGTCTAAATACAAAACCTAGCACCTTGGGGCTTCAAGCCTGTCCCTGAAGAACTTGCCTACAGATGAATCGCACCAATTTACAAATGCAGTTTTCAACCAGGACAAATCAAACAGGTCTGATAGCAGTGTATTTTACTCAGCTGTGTCTGTAGGACTCCAAGACATTGTAATGTTTTGTTTACATTATTTTGAACATCTATAGATGTTTGAGGATATGTGAATAATACCTGAATTTCTCCACTTCTAGCTAGCATGTGTTTAGCCTACAGACTCAGCCTGTTAGACCAGCTTTAGAAAGCATTGCAGAGTGAAAATCAATGCTCTAGGATTCAGGAGGCCAGCATAAGGCAAGATCTCCCCAATCTTGGGATGGTCCTACTCATCTCAACCCTCTCTTCATCAAAGACTCAACGAGGAAGGGCTGTGATTGTCTTGTGGACTGCCGTATCCCTGACGTCTGATATAAGGTCTGGCACAATGTAGGCAATCAATATTCATTGAATGGATGAATGACAGAACAGGTGGATACACAAATAAATAAATTTTCCTTCTGGTCACTTGAAAATTTTTACCAACTTATACTAATTGGCACTATAATTTATGAATTTCATAGTGAGAATTAGAATGGACTCTTCATAAATATTTTCTAGATACGAGTTTGGAATCAATTACTTTGAAGGCTTTAAGTATTTGAGGAATGATTTGGGGATTCAGAGTTTCCATAATAAGTAAAATTCAACCTTTCTAGTTCTTTATGAAAGGACCTTGGCAAGGATAATCTAAACATGGAATTCCATTAATAAATTTTATAAAACATATGTTCTTATTTTTTAAAATAAGAAAAGTCACATCCTCAAGTATATTATTAATATCCCCTTTGATATTTATTAACTTTTTTTCAAAGTTCATAGTCAGTGGAATTACCATCCCTAAATCTTGCCTTGCTTTCACAAGATCACTCTCATATCTGATCCCTAGAATGTACCTGAATTTAAGCTTAATCACACAGCTATTAAGACTTTTTCATGTGTTTATTCATTTACCAAATGTTCATTGTGTAACTAATATGTGGTAGATTCTGGAAATACAATGGCAAACAAGACAGACACAGTGCCCTCATGGAGCTTACTGTGAGGAACTACTCAACACTTACACTAGCAATAACTAGAATTTCCTGTTCATCAGGTTCCTTGATAAAGAAACTAAAATCCCTAACCCCATGCAAATCATGAAGACTTCGTGCACATATTCCTGAGCTGGGTTTTCTAAACACACCACTCAAAAATGCTGCTTAGTCTATCCATACACCATAGTTATATCCCAATGAGGTACGTAAGTATAATTTACTCAGAACTAACATGTAGCTCTTACTGGGCTCCACTGTGCTCAGTACTTTCATACTCTCTCTCACTGAATCCCTTCAACAATTCTACTAAGTAGTTTCCATGTTATAGACAAGAAAACTGAAGCACAGAATGTGACTTGTTCAAGGTCGCACATTTAGCAGATGGAATTAAGATTTGAACCCATGCACTGTAACACAGGAGCTCATGTGTCTAATCATCATCTGTGGCTTGGGGGACACCATTACATTAAAATGAGTCACTGTATATAAAATACTCTGAAATTGTAAAGTAGTATACAAAAAGATATTTGTAAAGTATTCATAGTCAACAAACCATGTAAGTGGCAGAAACAAAACACAATCTTATGTTGTAGCTTCCTCTCATGAACACTTCAAGCCAGAGTAGTGGATAAAAGTACAGGTCCAGGAAATTTCTGACATGTGATAAATATTCTAATGATTTTTCAGAATTACTGATTGTTAGCCACTGTGTCTATTTGGTGCTACAAAAAAAACAAAACCCTGAAAGAAACAAAATCCCTTGCTATAAGGGCTTATAATAAATGCACAGTGTGGAGATGAACCAAGGATAGTTCACATTTATAGGAAAAGATGGGCAGTAGTACTATTTTCTCACCATTGCATGTGATTGTGTCTTACCAATTGTTTTTATTATTTTTCTGAAAGAGCTGCAAAATTGTGCAGTGGTTCAACCTGACCTGACCAAAGTGGTATTATGCTGCTGGGAAGTAAAAATATTAAACACTAGACTGGAAGTATTGTCTTCATTGTCAAATGACTTTAAATTCTTTTAAAGCATGGACATAGAAAGATTTTTAGATGCTGAAGGCACCTGAATATTTGGACACCAAGTTCCTCTATTCCAAACCATAGTGTGGGGTCATACAATTGAGTGGTTAGGTTCTGAAGCCAATAGGAAAGGCAAATTTAAGATTGGCCTGACTACAATCCAGTAGATCAATGTCCATACTTCCAGAGGCTAGCAGGAAACGACACCTTCTGTGGGAACAGTAAACTCATGGCTCCCTATCATTCACTCATAAAGAGGAATCACATGCATTATTTAAATTTGTTCTCTCTCTCCCCCTCTCAGTTAAATGGGCTTGTGATGCAACTTCAATGCTGTTCCATATTGGTGGAAGCAAGGAGTCATCTTAAGATAACTTTTTATCCCATTCTTTCCTACTACCAATTAGATCCTTCTAAATAGTTAAAGTTTTGAGAAGTTTAGCTTTACACATAATACACTGGTGGATAAATTAAAATGCCTTATGTTCAAAATCATACTTGTTGACTTCTCTCTGTCTCCCTTTTGACAACTTTATTTCTAAGGATATTACCATTCTCTGCACAAATGTAGTCATCCTTCTCACTTCCATTCACATCAATTCTTAGATTCTTTACATTTTACCTTGACAAAGTCTCTTGAAACTGTCTTCTCTTATTCATTTTCACTATTTCTACCTAGGTATGCATCCTACTAGGACTCTTGTGAGCTTTTAACTATTTTCCCAATTACCTTGTTTCCCCTTGTTTTTCCTACAATTGATGCAGCCGTGGGCAAACTACGGCCTGCGGGCCAGATCCGGCCCGTTCTAAAAAAAAAAAAAAGACCGTACCCTTTTATGTAATGATGTTTACTTTGAATTTATATTAGTTCACACAAACACTCCATCCATGCTTTAGTTCCGGCCCTCCGGTCCAGTTTAAGAACCCATTGTGGCCCTCGAGGCAAAAAGTTTATCCACCCCTGTCTAGATAACCCCCCTGAAGCTATTCCTTTACACACATCAGATTCTTAGTCAAGATTCTCTGAACCAAAACACTAGTATGGTATTGGGGACATTATAGTGTCCTTCTATGCACAAGTACAACATATAGAACAAGAAATGTGATGCTATTGAAATCTGGTCATTGGACTGTGAAATACAACCATGAGGTTCCATGCCACTGAAAATGTCACAAGTTAAGGAAATTAAATATTACAAGAAAATAACAGTGTTGTATGGTGAAGATATCTACCAAGACTGCATGCATCTGATTATGACCTACCAATTCCAAAGTATTTGCTTGGTGTGTGTGTGTGGGCGGGGGGGGGGGGGGGGGGGGGGCGAGGGAGGGAAAGGGGATGTGAATATGTGGAGGCAGGCAAATGTGCTAACATTAGGAAGAGGTATGACGTATGGTGTGTATTTTTTCTACTATATAGCATTGCTCTTTTAGCCTTCCTATTCTATCTTGCAGTTCAAGGTCACCACTACCTATTCCTGGAAACTGTCCCAAATTTCCTGCTCCTGAGGTTTTATTTCTGAAATGCCTCTTTCCTTACCTCATGTATGCCCGAAAAATATCTTCAATTTTAAAAGCCAATTTCCAATGGTACCTCTACCAAGAAGCTTTTTCTAATTTTTCCAGGCCTGATGTTATCTACTCCATCATCAATTCCCACTGTGATATTTTAATCTCTTTTTAGGGCTTTTTCTTAGCTTGTCTTATAGTACACCCATTTGTGTCTTTAGCATCATAAGTCTCCCTGCAGTTACTAATTATGCATGGAGTGAGTGCCTAATATTTCTTAAATGGAACTACCTTTTACTTGTCAACTTCACAGAATGGCTTCTGGGTTATTTTAGGATCTATTTCAGTCCTCTGTAGCACACACAAAAAGTTCATCTGAATAGAGAACTCAACACTAGGCATTTTTAAAGGAGAAAGGAGCTTTAATTATGGAATATTTTGTTTTTAAGCAAAAATAAAAATAAAAGTGTGATATTTATAAACCAAATGAATTCAACATCTAACATAAATGTGATGTTAATTTAACTCTCCCTCCAACCCCCACAAGGATAAGAAACACAACATCCTAACAGAAAATTCCCACAAATAAACTAAGATGCACTTTTTTCATTCTTTAAGTTAAAATAATTACAAATAGAACTTCAAGAAATATTCTACATGAAC